CCGGCGAGCAGCCAGGGGCTCGGGCAGCCGTCGCGCCCTGTTCCTCCCTGGTGGTGCTCAGGGTCCTGGGGACCACTGCGTTCCCACAGTACTGTACCCTCAGTTTAACGGCGTAGCTGCCGATGCGGACAACCCAAAGATCTGATCCGACTCTCTACATTAATACGAACAGTAGGACCTCCCTCTGCGAAACAGGGCGTTTCAGCTTAATTTTGAGTTTGTTAATGGTGGAGAATCCAGGCAGACCTTTTAGGTTTTTTTCCCCCCTATCAATAACACTGTTAATCATTTTTACCTGAGTTCTGGTTCAAACCAATAAGAAACGTAAAATAAAAGGTCATCTTTCATTTTGTTCATCTACTTGGAACTCCTTTATAGCTGGGTGACAATGAGAATATTTTTTTTCTAATGCCAGCACAACGCTTCTTAGTGACCAAGTCTCTAATGCTATGTGGCAGTGTTAGAATTTAAATTACCGTCAGCATCATTTAAGGGACACACACTTCTTGCAGTTCTGTGCAACGTTTTCTTGAAATCTCACATTCTTAGACCAGCGTCTCTACTTACTGATTAATTTAAGCTTATCGTCAGCATTATTATGAAGTTGGAAGTTACCAAAGTTTTATTATTTTAGATCTGATTTTCTTTTTTTAAATGCAAATGTTTCTTATTTCTGAATATTGAAATACCTGTGCGCACGTACAAACCTGTGCTACACCAGGACGTAAAACCAGTGGCTCTTCCACATCCGCTGTCCATAAAAATGTACACGAGGGCGGCAAATCACAAAGCTTGAGCACCTGAGCTTCTGAGAGACACAAGGCAGCGTTGCAAAATTGATCAACACCTTTTCCGGCAATCATCTAGCTAAAGCACGTAGCTAGCACTTTTTAACCCCTTCCGAGATTTTTGTGTTTTACAGAAATGAACCACTAACTCGCCGTGAACTCCAGCCACCTTAGCTTTCCACAGCGCGGCCACAGGCACGAAGCCCAGCTGCAGAACTGAAGAAGGGTCTCCAGAAGCAGCGCGTGAAGCTGGGCGTCCACCCGCCAACGGCTTTCCACTGGAAAACGTCTTTGCCCAGGGGCGTGCTGCCGATCCGAACCAACCCCTGCGACTCGAGGTACACTGGCTGTGGGCAAGCTCTACAGCCCGTCAAATGCCCGACGTAGATTTTCAGTAGGCTAGCGCTGCAGGAGGACAACTTGCTCCCGGGGACGCAGAGTCCAGACCTCCCGCATGTCGCGGATTTTGAGCAGAGCCCCCCCTTTCAGAAGCCCGCAGAGACTTGAGTAGGTACCAGGAGTTGCACTGCATGACCGTTACTGTGGATTTCAGCTCCTAGATTTTGTTTTTTTAGTGAAAGCCACTTGCAAAGGCACATTGTCAGGCACGTTCCACCTGCCCTCCAGACCGTATCCTGGAAATAGGAGAAAAGTAACCTATTTCTTCTCCTAGCAATCATTCACTCCTGGAACTCCCCCACCTATCTACAGCATGCTATTTTTAGAGCTGGATCTCCCTATCTCCTGACCTAGTGGACAATAGGACAGAGCGGTAGCTTCTGATTAGAGGCCAGGTGCTGCCACGAAATCAGAGTTGAGCAGCGTACCTTTCACCTAATCCAGCTCATAACAGGGAAGATTCAGAGTTCAGAAGGACGCTGCGTTTTGAGTTTGCTTCAGGCAAAGCCTGGCTATAATAAATGTTTATCATATTTGGATGAAAGACAATGACCTAGAACAGAGAAGGTGAGAGCTTTAAATAAAACACAAAAATTGAGTCATTTAGGAAATGTGTTTTTAGGGGCGGTGGGAATTTACAATTTAAAAAAAAAAAAGTCACATCCAGAAACTAATATCAAAGTGCAAAGCCTGGCACTGCACTAATTCCCTGCCGTTCCAGCAGCAGAGTCTGATGTCTTATGCAAGAAAAACCGAAATCTCTCTAAGATGGTGCATTCCATCCACCACGAGCAGCTCCCTGCAGGGTTTCCAGCCGGGGACGCTGGAGGGAACAACCAAGCGCACAGCGGTCCCCATCGCTCCCGCGCGTCACTGCCGAGGGACTCTCGCCTCCCATCTCCAGTCTCGCCAGGCTGAAGCATGCCTTTGACTCGCCAACTCTCCACCAAATGCTTGGGGATGGGGAGGCCAGGACCCGTTAGCTGTTTATTGGTTTAATAAATGTTATTTCTAAAATGAACTGATGAGTGTGACGCCATTCAGTCCTTCTCAAAGGAGATATGATACTTTTGTCTTCAACTGAACACACAGAGGGAACATAGGAGGAGGGGAAAAATTATTGCAAAACCTAATATTACTTATTTTTGTCTGAAAATTAATGCAGTTGCCCAGATCTGAGCAAGGCCTTGCTGCCATTGGACTGCCTGGAATCAAAATGAAACTTCCCACTGGAGATGGTCATAGCAACATTCAAGGCAAAGCTGTCATGGTTGCCCATCAGCAAAAAACCAGAATTTAATAAATCCCTCTGTGGTTCGGTAGCTCTGTAAAAGGTGTAGAGTATTTACTGGGTAATGACTTCTGATTAACCATTGATTTTTTTTATTATTTAGACCCTTGTTTGGAGGCCTGCCCTAAATCAGTTGAAGTCTGTCAACACCAGGCCATTTCTTCTGTAAGCAGCCCGTTTTTCCTGGTTAGCGTTGCTAAGAGGATAGATCACCATAACATCTTCAACTCCGATTTCAAAATTTATTTCAGTATTAAATATGTAGTATAAACAAAGAGAAACCTTCATCAGTGTTTTACAGCTATTTAATTATCTCCCATAAATTAAACTAAACGGTCCTCTTACCTATCTTTTAGCAGGCTAAGACAGGAAAGACAGTTTTACTGCTGCCCATTATTTTTTTAGTGCATCAAGCACCATTTATTGTGACAGAGTTGTGCACCTCTAAAGCAATAAAGTGATTCATCAGTTGTACCACATAAAGCTATCCTCCCAAACAAAACAAATGAAGAAAACAATACCTTGCCTTTGCAGAAGTAGAACAATGTCGTTTAAATTAACTTTCAAACCAGAAGACTCTGCTTACTTTTCTTTCCGATTTTCCCCTCTTTTTTCCCTTATAATTCAAAGTAATTCAAAGGAAGTAACAAACTTTTCTTAATCCCTTTGCTGTCTTCCCTTTCCTGTATTTTATTCAAACTCTTTAACGCTTCAAAACATCCTACTTCTTTTGGTGTTTATATTTGCTCTTATATCCTATGCCACCCATAAAGCCTCATATAAAGCTTGATTTCCTCAAAGAAAATCCCTTTCACCTACCTTTTTGACCTGAAATGCCTTCCCTGAAGGCACCTGAAAAGCCGCTATACATTTTCTCCCCGAAACCATCTTTTTATTGAAAAAACACCAGGAGTAGTGATTAGATAGAAGACTTGTGAATTCCTAGTACAAAACTTAACTTTTTATTCATGGTATGACCCAGTAAATAGCCAGTTGCAATATGGGAACTATTTTAAGCTGTTTCAGCACCTTTACCCTGCAGTATCTCACAATGAATGCAAATTGGCTTACCTTGAAGGTGATTTTATCACAGGATAAAAGCATACACAGGAGCGACTAATATTGGAGTACACCACAGTGAACTCATCTTTTTTACCTGTGAGATGAGACATCCTACCGCTGTTTCACAGTTACCCCTCCACCCTCAAAAAAAAAAAAAAAACAAATTAAGCTTTAAATGGGTTATAAACATCATTTTCATGCAGCGAACATATGGAAACCCTGTTCTAATGAAGGCTATATTACCCTACACTCGTGCTGAACCTTTTTGCTTACCATGTGCAATTAGAAAGTAATTTTAAAATACATTCACTCCTTTGGCATATATTTGGTACTCTTCCATGATTTTGCATGCCCTAATACTAACTAGCCTTCTGGCGCTACCAGACGAAACAAGAAAAAATACACTTGAGAGCATGCTTAGGGTTGAAACAGAGTACAAGCAGCACATTGCTTCCATTTATTTGCTGCTGCAAAAGGCAAGCTCTGCTGTGCTAAACCTTACTCTCTTGGCAACTAGCTGATAAATACAAAACACTCCAACAAGTCATTTCTTTCGCCTTGGCTCACTGTGAGCAGATCTGAAGTGGAAGAAGAAAAGTTGCTATTACTGCAAGCAAAGAGCAGCGCAGGGAGAAGCAAGAAACACAAATTTTTCACTGGCGACTGGCCCCTCTACCCAGAGCATCCAAGCAGCTGCCGACAGAGAAGCCAGACATC